AGGAGGAGCGTTCTGCTGCTGGCCTCTTGTCTACTTAAACTTACACAGGACTCATCTAGTTGTTAGATGTTTCTGCAAACCTGTGAGCATGTTCTTAGTCACACACCTTTCTTACTGAAAAGGAAATGTTTAGAGAGATTCTGTGGGGGAAAACACTTAAATGAACACATATTTTCCTCCTACCTTTAAGATCTACTGATGAAAAGCACTCTGTAACAGCTAGGTGGTGTTTCCTGTATGTGTACTGTAAGCTCTTTAGGTAGAGACAGTTTTAATGTGTGTATATCTGCCTAGGGATAAGACTACAAAATCTTTTGGTGCCTCGTGTTATTGCTGTACTGACAGAAGTTGATTAATATACTATATATTCTATACAAATATAACATACATATACATGCACACACATACTACTGTTAATATCTATCTAGTTATCTAAAAGATATAGATATTCTTTGTCATGTCTCCAATCCAACCTTTCTATATGGTCTATTCCCAATATTCTACACAGGCCACTGCTTCTGGTATTGGTGCTGCCAGATTGTGGTGCTACAGGACATCTCAGCAGATGATCCATGATTTGCTTCTCCTGACAAACACACTAGTCGGTTGCATAGAGGCCCCATGATTTCATGAGAAAGTTGTGTGGATATATATGTATAATAGAAAATCCATTGGTTATTTTGTTCAGTGCTACTCTTCTTTGACTTGTATTGCTCATACAGATACACTGGCATATTGTACTGCACAATATTTACACTTCAACTTTAGCACAGCCCTGGGAAGTATTTATTAATTGACCAGCAGAGGGAGCATACACCATGGAGCTTTTCTGGACTAAGCACAATGGTGTCTTTTTGGAAGTAAGCAATATGGTATCTATTATATGTGGCTCACTAAACTTTTCAGGTATGGGGCATATCACAGCACACAGCCTGGGCCAAAACTCATGTGATGGTGTGGCTTATCCTTATGTTTATCATTTTCTCTGTCTAGAATGTAACTGTTTTTAATTGCAGCTTTTTTCTCTCTTCCTTTCCATATCTCTTCACTGTTTGTTTGGTCCTGAAGATCTAGTGTGAAATCCTGATATTTTGAAGTTAATGGCAAAACACCCATTTACTCAAGCAGATGCAGGCTTTCACCCTTGGCTTAAATGCAAAACTGTACCAATATGATTAAATCATTTTAAAATAACAATTTTACTTTGCAACTTTGTAAGTAGATCAGCATGTCTTTGTTATAGGGGCAGTCTGAAGAGATATAATTTGATGAGTGTCTGCACTAGGATCTGCACTGGTTTAATTAAATCAGTTCAAGTTAAAGTGTAGAAAATCCCTTGGGGTGCCTTTTAAAGAACACCATTATGTAAATAGGGAATGCTGAGACAGTTCTTTTTGTCTGGTAAATATAAATAGAAAGCACAGCCCCTAACTGCACCTAAGAACTGAGACACAGTAAATCATCTAGCAAGAGTAACTGCTAACATATGTGAAATACTGGTCAAAAGACATTGTTTTCATTATAGTTTTGTTCTCAGGAACCACTTTGTCTCTGAAGGGGCAGATTCCAGCTTCAGTTCTTAGTTGGGAAAGCCATTTCTTTGCTAATAATGTTTGGCAGGGGCACAATAAATCTGCAGTAGTTTTTGCAGAAAAAAGTAAAGGATACTGTGGATGAGACAGTATCTGGTATCCTCAGGAAAGCTACTTTCATCGTGCTTTGTACTTCTGGAAAACAGCCCAACCTGTTTTCACCAGATAGGTTCATGAATACAGCCTAAGCCACTGAAGACACTTAAAACAAGGGTACTTTTCATTTAAAAAAAAAAAATATATAATTTGCAGTCGCTCTTCTGCAGAAACTAAGATTCCACTTTCTCTCGCTGTCTATTATAACCAGTATCTTTTTGGGATTTAAAATTAATTAATTTCCATTACTCAGGAGTAGACATTGTCTTCCCCTCCCAAGCACCCTTAAAACACTAAACAATAGTTTCTATCATAACTTCTATTTGTATTTATTATCCACAACGGATTATCTACACTATAAGCGACCTGAAACTATTACTGAAAAATATGCTTATAGAATTAAGTTTTACATAATCTTATTTTGGGTTCATGTGAGTAAGCAAACCTCTAACTTCCTTTCCTTCCTCAGAGTGTAAGGTGAAACTTACATTTTTCTTTGCACTTCATAACAGCTGTGCTCTGTTCCTTCCCTGGTTAAATCATTGTGGTATAAAGTATATCCAGATAATATTGGACAGGGAAATCTTTACTCAAGAAGAGGCCATAAAGCCTTCCTTAAATATTGCTAGATTCCATTTTAGCTTCTCCTTAGAAGCTTTTTCCACAGCTAAATTCCCCTGACAAAGAGAATATTTTATATGGAATTTGCATGCTTGATTCTGGGAGTCTGTAGGTTTTGACTCTTCAAGAGGAGGAAGTTATGAGACACTGTGTGTGTCTACATGTGTGCTTTAATGTTCAGTAGCCTATTGTATTGCTCATTAAAGCGTCATGCCAAAAAGTGCTAATACGCAGTAGAATTAGTCTACTGTGTATTAAATGTCACTAAAAAGGCATTCGTTTTTGCTACTGCGCGTTGGGGAAGCTTGATGCGCTTTTATGTAGTACCTCATATTAGAGGTACTAAACTTAATGCTTAGTAGCAAAAGTGCATTAATGAATGTGTAGATGCACCCACAGAAACCTAGGAATGGGATGTTTGCATTGGCCTGAAGAGGCAGAATCCTGTGTTGTAGAGGCTAGAGCTTTCATTGTTTCTAATTTCTGGCCCAGGTACAGTGAATTGTAGTTTGCTCTCAGACCATTGTCAGAAAGATGGGGTAAATTTTCCTAGCAAGCTGAAGGCAGAAAGTGTTTTTGTCACTTGTTCTAATGGTTGTCTAAGCTTAATGATGAGTATCACACGATTTAGAGTCTCCATACTAATTTGAAAAGTAGATATAGAAAACTGGGAGAAGGTAAGGGGGAGGACAGGGACAAGATTGGTTAATATACCAGATATTTTTTCTGAAGCCTCTCCTTCTCCCTCTCCCTCCTTTCTTTCTGGGCATCAGTTCATTCTTGCGAGGGTTAGTCTGAGCTAGCTTCTTTTTGTTCAGCTCTTGGTTTCCTGAAAGTATTGTGACTTTGAGTTGCTAGATGGAAAAAGAAAGTTTATAACAGAATATGGGTGACTGGTGCCACCTCAGTCAGGAGGGGCATGTGCCCCCCCCTCCCCCCCAGTGATCAGTCAGTGATTGGGAGAAGGGTCCCCACATGGCCAATCTCACCAACCGGGGGAGGGGGTCCCCCCTACAACTAATTGTGCTGAGCAGGAAGCAGCCACGGTGCTCCCGGAAGTGGCTGTGGTGCTTCCCACTCCCTGGCTGGTGCTCACATGGGGGAGCACCAGTGCTCCTGCCTGCCCCCCCTGCCTGTCGCCTAAGCAGGGAGCATGGCCTGTCTGTGGGTGCACCAGCACTCTCAGGGGATGCATGTGCACCCCTGTGCGCCCCCTATATGTCACCACTGTAATAGAGACAAATCTCATTACAGTAAAATCTCTGTCATCCAGCATGAGTGGGGAATGGGGGGTGCTGGGTATCTAAAAATCCCAGTTACCTGAGGCTGGTGGTTTCTGGTTGGATGTGGAGTGGGGGAGAGGTGGGGGTGGTGGCGGCCTCTTCCAGAGCAGCAGGTGGCAGCGGCCACACGTGAAGCAGCTGCAGCACAAGGTGGTAGGTGGCAGTGCCGGTGGCCATGTGTGAACTTCCCTCCTCCCCTTCCCTAACCCCGGCCAGCCGGAAATTCTGGTTAAGAGTTTTCTGGTTACTCAAATGCTGGATAACAGGCATTTTACTGTATATTGTTTTCTGTCTGCCTGAATTTAAGTATGAATGAGCCTGTTGGCAAAGCTTTCCTGCCACGGTAAATGTTGGAGGAGGGACTTGCCCATGTAAGCCTCCAAAATGACATGCACTCACAGTAGATTGTGTACAGACTGAGCTTGAGAGAGCTCCAAAACCTTGGCTCATCCCTCAGTGGGGCTTGATTTAATACCATGGGTTTTCATTACCTTGTTCCAGAGAGGAGGAGTAAGTCTCCCCAATGTCACCTGTTTATGCCACCAAATGAGACCTCTTTCATAGTAAACTGATAATCCACGCTACTGTGGATGCAATCATTTTGGTATAAAATGCTTTAGCCAGCATAGTTTATATGGGTTAACATTTAGTTATACTATTATAATGGGACTTTCACTAGGTTCATTACCTGCATACAGAGTGAGTTTGTTTGTTTTTAAAACCACTCTGCCTACGTGATGCAGCTATGTCTGTAAAACTTTTAAGGATAGACTGGACTTTACCTGAGCATGATATTTAAATAAATGTCAACACTGTCATTACTGGCCTTCTGAGTTAACATCTCCCTGATTATAGAGGGAGCAGGGCTCATCATTTAGTGCTGCTCTGTGCATCTGCTACTCTAATCAAATTGTTGAGGTTTTCTTTGCAGCCATAACAGCTAGGACCATATTTACAAAAACTTGAGACTCTCGAGGACATCATGCAAGTTTAAGAGAGGTTCTGGTGCACTTTATCACTGTGTACCTGCCTAGTCCAACCTCAGGAAAAACCTGACAGGTGGTTGATATTAAATCATTAACCAGGAATGAAGTTAGGGTTGGATTTCTACAGGATGGGGATGCTCAATTTCTATGATAATTAAAGGGAAATGCTTATTCCCGCCAATCTTGGTGACTCTATGTCACTTTTAATATTTTAAAGTGCTTTGATAATGTATTTACTTAAAGGTTTTGTTCTTCAGGAATTGGTTAGCTGCATAATTTTCAGTGGTAGAAAATAAAAGCTGGAAAGTTGCAGTAATTACATTAAAGCAAAATATTGCTTATCTGATGCAGAAATCCTCAAGGTGTAATACATGGTAAATCAATGTAATTTCAAATTATGCTTACCATTTCATTCTCTCTAGTCTTATGCAGGGAAATATGTGCATGCTATTGGGTACTGTATTCATACCCACAATCACACAGCCAAGGTTAAGATCAACTTCAAGGGAGTTGCTATTGGAGATGGTTTCTGTGACCCTGAAATGGTAGGTTCTTTACATATTTTTTCTGTTGTCTTCATACTTAATTAAGTGAAGTGCTCTTCTCAGATTACAGTCCTATCTTGGTAAAAGGTGGTATTTTCCTTCAATACCACCTTCCTAATGGCCTAATGACTTCCTAATGGCTTTAAACCTTTAATTTTTGCCAAATGTTTCCAAACATCAAGTTACTAGATCATTTATTTTTAAAAAGAAAAAGGGTTTTGCTCAGTTGAGTTCAGTGACTGATTTAAAATTAAAAAAAAGGTTATCTTGGAAAAGTAAAATATACTTTCCCCACATGTCAGCTTCATTCTTGTGTGCCTGTTTGGCAGATGTTGGGTGGCTATGTGCAATTCCTGTACCAAACTGGCTTGGTGGATGAGAAGCAGAGAGACTATGTCCAGCAGCAAACCGATCTGGGAGTAATCTATATCCAGCAGAAGAAATGGACCGAAGCCTTTGAAGTACGTATCAGAGGCCCGCACATTGGCCTTTAGCAATTAAAACCATCTGTACTGAGTGAGGGGTCAGAAAGAAGCATAATGAAGGTCAGAAGTTTGCTGGAGAAGGTGCCCATTATAATGTGGCAGAGGGGGAGGAGGAGAAAGGAACCAAAGAAAAGAAAAGAACTGTCCATAGAATTTGTTTTGGCCTCATTTCAAACAGAGTGCCTTTAGAATATGTTTATACAGTCCTGTCTTTCATGAACTGTTTTAGTTTCTTTAACTAAATGCTTGTATGCCCTGAAGGTTTAACTTATCCCATGGAAATCAGAAGAAATGCAGTCTAGGGAGCTGATGCATATACTTGAGTACACACTTTAAAAACCTTTATATAAAAGTAAAGAGTGGCTGCATTTCAAACATACTCAGTTGATTAGTATCTGCAATAAAATATTACTCTTTCTGATAGATATCCATGTTGCAGCATCCAGCAAGGCTATGCAACACACACATTTTCTGTGCAGAAAGTAATACACTTCCAGTAATTTATAATCTATTGTACATTTATAATTTCAACATTGTATCATTGCTACATAGCTTTTCTTTGCTACAACTTAACCATCATCATGGGAGAATATACATCATAGTTTATGTGGGGCTATTAGCTTTCCTGCTTCATTGGGCAGTTTTAATATGCAGATAGCATTTTCTACAAAATATTTGCCAAGTAGGATTAAAATTGGAGGATGATTTCAATATTAGGGGAAAGCTGAGCTTTATAGAAGAGTCCCTAGGGGATAGGGAATGGGGTTGGTTGATACAGCATTACTGTCTTTGGGGCTGGTATTTGTTAGTCTGGTATCACTGGGAGTCTGAAATTAATTCAGTGTTGTGATAAAATGAATGTGACCCTGTGACTAGGGCTGTTACTATATGAGTACAAAGTACAGATTTGCCAATATAGCTGTCCACACTAGAAGCACTTTAACTGCATAACATACTTTCTATTCCAATACCAGTAAAGAGCTCCTAGCATAGTCAGAACCTTAGTCTCTCTGTTCCTTATTTTCCCCATATGTAGGCACCTACCTAAATCATGGTGGAAGTTTGTGATGCAATGGTGCCTTTAATCTTGGTCTTGTTGCTGCACGTGCCCCCCGCCACTGAGTGGCCAAGTAATGAATGCTGTGGTTTTTGCCTCTCAACTACTCAGGAGCGGGAGGGGGGGGTGGGGCAAAAAAAGCAAGATTAAAGGTGCCACTGTGCCGTGAACTTCCACCACGATTTAGGTAGGTCCCTACCTATATGTTGAATAGGGTTAAGAACACTGACTTATTTCATGGAGGTATTAGGAAGATAAATACATTAAAGATTGTAAGGTATATAGATTCATAGATGTTAGGGTCGGAAGGGACCTCAATAGATCATCGAGTCCGACCCCCTGCATAGGCAGGAAAGAGAGCTGGGTCTA